TGTTCGACGGCACAAATCAGCTGTTCGACGGTACAAATCAGCTGTTCGACGGTACAAATCAGCTGTTCGACGGCACAAATCAGCTGTTCGACGGTACAAATCAGCTGTTCGACGGTACAAATCAGCTGTTCGACGGTACAAATCAGCTACCTCATGTTGACGGTACAAAATCAGCTGTTCGACGGACAAATCAGCTGTTGACGGTACAAATCAGCTGTTCGAACGGTACAAATCAGCTGTTTCGACGGTACAAATCAGTTTTGACGGTACAAATCAGCTGTTCGACGGTACAAAATCAGCTGTTCGACGGTACAAAATCACCGTTCGACGGTTCAGCTGTTCGACGGCCACAATCAGCTGTTCGATGGTAAAATCAGCTGTTCGACGGTACAAATCAGCTGTTCGACGGTACAAATCAGCTGTTCGACGGTACAAATCAGCTGTTCGACGGCACAAATCAGCCGTTCGACGGCACAAATCAGCTGTTCGACGGCACAAATCAGCTGTTCGACGGCACAAATCAGCTGTTTGACGGTACAAATCAGCTGTTCGACGGCTGTTCGACGGCACAAATCAGCTGTTCGACGGTAACAAATCAGCTGTTCGACGGTACAAATCAGCTGTTCGACGGCAATCAGCTGTTCGACGGCACAAATCAATTCGACGGCACAAATCAGCTGTTGACGGCACAAATCAGCTGTTCGACGGCACAAATCAGCTCGACGGTACACAGACGGTACAAGGCAGCTGTTCGACGGTACAAATCAGCCGTTCGACGGTACAAATCAGCTGTTCGACGGTACAAATCAGCCGTTCGACGGTACAAATCAGCTGTTCGACGGTACAAATCAGCTGTTCGACGGTACAAATAAGCTGTCTGCTGTTCGACGGTACAAATCAGCTGTTCGACACAAATCAGCTGTTCGACGGCACAAATCAGCTGTTCGACGGCACAAACCAGCTGTTCGACGGCACAAATCAGCTGTTCGACGGCACAAATCAGCTGTTCGACGGCACAAATCAGCTGTTCGACGGCACAAATCAGCTGTTCGACGGCACAAATCAGCTGTTCGACACAAATCAGCTGTTCGACGGTACAAATCAGCTGTTTGACGGCACAATCAGCTGTTCGACGCAAATCAGCTGTTCGACTCGTTCGACGGTACAAATCAGCTGTTCGACGGTACAAATCAGCTGTTCGAGGGTACAAATCAGCTGTTCGAGGGTACAAATCAGCTGTTCGAGGGAACAAATCAGCTGTTCGACGGTACAAATCAGCTGTTCGACGGTAACTCTCCCGTTCTTTGCCTGCCCCTGACCTCATCTTCCCCTCGTGCAGCTCCAGTCATGCGCTTAACTCCTTTTCGCACAATGAGGACAAAGTAAATTGGAGGACACGCTTACTATTCCGAGCTTGTTTTCCGACGTCCTAGGTGTCATGCAGCACTTAGATCTCAATGGAATAGAGAAATAACATGGCCAACACCGCATGACACACCTCATATTCGGAATTACATGGCCAACACCGCATGACACACCTCATATTCGGAATGACATGGCCAACACCGCATGACACACCTGAACGTAGAGCCGTGGTGGCGGTGGATTTCTACCATTTTCGGTCGAGGTTCCCCGCCATCACTACTCTGATTGGCAGCGGCGCGAGCAAGGTGTCAGAAGCAAGGTGTCAGAAGCAAGGTGTCAGAAGGGTGTCGAATATGAGCGTGTGACTCACCGTACAGATAAGGAGCCTCCTGAGGTAGATGCTATAGCGGATAGGTCTACATTTTTGTTTGCATGTGTGGATTTTATATATATATATATATATATATATATATATATATATATATATATATATATATATATATATATATATATATATATATATATATATATATATATGTGTATGTGTGTGGTGTGTGTGTGTGTGTGGTGTGTGTGTGTGTGTGTGTGTGTGTGTGTGTGTGTGTGTGTGTGTGTACATAAATGGATATTAAACAGTAAATATATACAGCACACACACATACACATATGCATTCATATTGTATGTATGCATAAAATCTCAATCTCTCTCACTCACTCTCTATCTTAAACATGCATTTACAAAAAAACATTAATTGATATAAAAATGAATTGTCATGCATTTACACCGCTTTGATAGACGTTCTCTCGACACACACACACACACACACACACACACACACACACACACACACACACACACACACACACACACACACACACATATATATATATATATATATATATATATATATATATATATATATATATATATATACATGTTTGTAAATAAGGCTGCAACTACTTAGCGTGGGAATATTTTAGTCTCATTGTTGACATCATTAGCAAAAAGAAAAAAATGCGTTTCTTCCCTCTCGGTGAAATAAAAATACGATCACGACATTAAACCTTCACTTAGTTTGCCCTCTTATCTCCCTGAGCAAAGCTTATCTAGAGCAAGGGTCCTGTCCATAATAAA